TATATATATATATACATATGTATAGTTAAACACACATACAATTTGTATTAAGATTATACACGGTATAACAATTCAAACACAAATCTAGCTGATCGAGTGATCTATCATATTATTAATATCAGATATTTATTATTCGATGTGATGCGTATTCCAAAATTATTAACTACGAGAAGAAAATAAAAATAATCTCTCCATTATTATATGCTTATCTTTATGAATTATAACTTTGCTAGGTAGAACTCAAGTACACAACATATGAGAAACTGGAAGCAATTTGTATTCTAATAATCACATAAGAAAAAATATTAAAAAAATACATATACATACATATATATATATATACACATACATATATGTTTGTATCAAAGTCGAGCGTGTTAAAATATATTTTGCAATAATAACTAACAGTATTATTAAAATGAAATCAAACAATTTTACCGAATTATTACGATATGATTATATATATCATACGTTAAGAATAATATAGTATGTGAATTGTATATCATATTATCTAGAAATGTCATTTTATATATATAAACTAAAGAACAAAGAATAAGAACAAGAAAATCCTTTTTTGTATTACCTTTTTACATTAACAAGTCTTTTGTATCATCGTTAACTAAGGCCAAACGAGTTTTTAGTATTTAAACTTAGATGAGATATATGAACAAATATTCGCTATAAGTATTAATCTGTTATATCGTAATGGAAGAAACAAAATGTTATTGAGTTATTCAAACGTTTAGTATAACACGATATAAAACATAACACGAATTGTTTTATCTAGAATTCATTATTTTCTTTGCTAATTATATTTATTATTTTTTCTATAACATATAACTCTGATTGCAAAAAAAGAACGGAGAGTTTTATTTTAATTATTATTTAATGTACGATAAATTATAATTTTGGTGTAAAAATTATGTAAAAATAAATATTTGCTGTGCGTTATATAAAGAATGTTGTCTATGCATATGTTAAGAAAGAAAATTTTAATTGAAAAAAAAAAAGAAGAAATAATATTCAAATAAAAACGAAATGTAACATTATAACTTTATCGCATCATTATAATAATAATAGAACGGTTTTGAATAATGTATATATACAGTATTTATTATCACAAATTATATATTAAAAAAAAACACATTAGTGCGAGATTACTTATAGCATTATTAAAAAAGGCAGTAAAG